ATATATATATATATATATATATATATATATATATGAATGATCTAACGTGCCAATATAGATGTTTTTATCTTGTTATATTTCACCCTAATCGTTGAAAAATACTCCCTCCCCCTTTTTTAGTGTTTAGTAAAAAAATTATCTCTACATTAAGATTTTTGGTTGATTAGGTTTGGACATAAATATAAATCCCAATTTAATTTGACTCACAGTGATTTTACTTTCAAACACAATTTCAGTATTTCAGCATACATCACAGTTTGCGGTTACAGCTTGGTTTGTCACTGAATGATCTCCTGGGTTTTATTGTAATTTAGGTTGGTTTTTTTTAAGCAAATGTCTCTTAAATTTTATATATGAAGAACCTTATAAAGATGGCAATAATTGTCATACATTTGCATTGGATACTGTTTGATGGATTCTTAGCATTCTTTCTAAGGTTTTTCTTTTGCTTATATCATTAACTTCTTTATAGTGAACTAAATTAAGAAATAATAAGAAAGAAAAAGAAAAGCCTGGCACACCCAAAAGTGTAAATATTCTCCTTGTCATAGAAATCAGCATTAAACAACCCTGCAGACAAACTAGATTTAAAATGGATGAAAATATTGAACTTTTGTTACTGTCTTTGTTTTCTTATAGTTATGGTTTACTCAGTACAATATTGAATGTTGCAATGCAGTTTCTGTGTATTCAATTACAAGCTTTTAGAGCCTTACCCAAATTGATAAACGCCATTTTACATGAGGGATACTGCAGAGGAGCTTTGCAGTTTCCTGGTAGTGAATATTTGGCATACATCCTTTCTGTCGTGATTCATCTGACCTCACTCATCTTTAAATTCACTGATACTCAAAAAATAACAACCTGCCTTTAACTTTGCCTTGTAGAGATATGGCATTCGTAGTATGGTACAGTCCTAATTTGCCTTTAGTATTGTACATTGAAGAGCTACTGCTTGAAGGATTAAAAATTGTTGACCTAATTGTCATTTACTTTACCTTTAACCAGAATGGCGCAGCAGGCGGCGCGGTTCCACAGCCCTGCCCCTGCCACAGCCCCTACGCCAGCTCAGACCCCAGTTTTACGGGGTCCTCCACCGCTCCTTAGGCCCCCGCCTCCTCCTTTTGGGATGATGAGGGGACCCCCACCAAGACCTCCCTTTGCACGACCTCCGTTTGACCCAAACATGCCGCCTATCCCACCACCAGGAGGCATGCCACCCCCCATCGGACCTCCTCACCTCCAGGTGAATATTTTTTACATCTGACTCAACATTAGCACATCTTTCTTAGATAAAGTGTTAAAACTGCATTTGAAGAATCTTAACAGAAAGCTAATTCCCTTTAAAAAAGTTTGTTGTAGTTTTTTTTTATCAGTTCTGTCATCCAAAAATTAAGAGACAGTAAAATAATTTTTTTATTCTTTCCTCTTTGTAAATCAACAAGCGTTGTAGCTCAAACATTTCAGAGAAGGATAAGCCGAAATGGTTGACAGTGGCTCTGGCTTTTATTGTAATTAATTCTAAACTGCAGTGAGATTCTCTTTGACTCTTTAAGGCATCTGCTGCTATGTTTTATTTACCAATTTTTAATTTTTCAGAATAGCATATTTTTGTTGGAGTGATTGGCATTCGGTTTAAAAACTAAATGTGTGTTTTTTGGTTTTTTTTCTGCAGAGACCCCCTTTCCTCCCTCCTCCCATCGGTAACCTGCCCCCTCCTCCAGGGATGCTTTTTCCTCCTGGGATGCCTCCTGTTCCTGCATCTGGAACCCCAGCTCTGAATCCTACAGAGGAAATCTGGGTAGAGAACAAGACTTCAGAGGGAAAGGTAGTATGTTAACTCATATCAGCATCTTACACTGTTTTACTTAATGAAACTTGAATACTGGATTGGAATTAGATAACTTTACAAAAAGGTTTCTTGTACAGGAGGAGTGTTTAAATCAACCACATAAGGGATGCACTGAGCATATAACTCATTTAAATACAGGCTGTTTTCAATCCTGGTCAGTTATCCTTGTCCTGGGTGTTTTATGTATCTCATTGCTGCCACACACATGACTTATATCAAATAATAAGCCTCAGCAGCACTTGATGACTGGAGGCCGTTCAATCATTTCCTGCAACAGTTAGACTTTGAAAACATGCAGGGCTACTCTATAAAGTCCAGTGGTTTGTTTTATAACTTTTTAAAACCTTTTTTGGAATGACTGTGATCTGGATGACTGAGAATCTTCACCAGCCTACTTCAGGGCTAGTACTGAGATCTACTATTTTATTTCATTTGCATACAGGAAAAACTACTGAAACTGTCTAATTTTTAACATTTCCTTAGGTTCCGGATACGTTTTGAACTTATTCCATGGTTCCACCCACATATTCAATGTTCTTTAAGTGCAATCAATGAAACATTCAGTTTTGGCTTGTAAACCTGTGAAACTAATGTTGAATTTCAGAGGCCCTTTAATCCAGTGATGACAGAATCATAGATGGATAATAAATGTTCTGTTTAGTTTAAACACTGATCACTAGATCTAGTACAAGAGTATGAAACATCCCCACTAATAACTGACTTATCACCCTGTCAGACTTATTACTACAACGCCCGAACCAGAGAGTCGTCATGGAGTAAACCAGATGGGGTGAAGATAATTCAGCAGTCCGAACTCAACCCTCTTCTGGTAGCGGGGGCCACAGGTTCAGGTGCAAACGTGGGGGCGACTGGGGCTTCTAGCGCCAACAGCATCAACCCAGCAGCCAGCACAGCGGCGGCGGCCTCCCCCACTCAGGCTCCTAGCTCTACCCCATCCCACACGCTCACCTCTAGTTCAGACCCCACCACCACCTCTTCACCATCTGCGACCATCGCAGGTAATCCGATGTTCTTCAACAATCAACACTCAAGTGTTTTCCAAAGTCTTTAGCTTTTTTTCTCTCTTTCTGTTCTTCACAGCCAGCGCTGTAGCAGATCTTCCCCCTGTAGCAACAGCGACTTCTAGTGTCGCTGTGTCTCCAGTCACTGTGGTGACTGTATCCACAGTGCCGTCTCCTGTCACAGCGGTTCAGACTGTGCCGCTGCTGCCAGCAGCCTTGCCTCACAGTGTGGCCCAGCCCACTGCAGCCATTCCTGCCTTCCCACCCGTCATGGTGCCACCTTTCCGGGTGCCTTTACCAGGCATGCACATCCCTCTACCAGGTGAGAATGACAACACTAACTTTAAAGGTTGCTGGTTTGATTCATCTCTAATAAGCACTGAGTGATTTTTTAATGTCAGATTTTCTCTATAAATTATAAATGTTTTCGTCCTGTTTGCAAATGTTGCTTTGTGGTTCATTGTAGCAGCAGTTCAAAAAGGTTGTACTGGTACAATGCCCTGAATATGTGTTCATACCCCTAAACTTAAAACTTTTTTGCATTTTATGTAATAGACCAACACAAATACACTGGAAGCAAAAGCAGTCTGAAAATTTTATTTTTATTTATTTATTTTTTTATCATTATGATGCGACCCCTGAGGCCGGATGAGCCAAAGTTAACTTAAGAAATATATTATGAAAAAAAATGTACCATGAAATAATCAAGGCACATTTAAATAGCCAATTCAGTTCAACAATAACTTATGAATTGCACAATTTAATTACACACACAATCCATTTATTAAATGTGCTTTTTAGATCATTTTATTAGTTAAATTTCTTTATACGTAATTAAATTTTTTTTTTTTTTTTTTTTTTTTGCTGAATGTGTATATTAATCGTAGGTGGTATTTACAGTGCTTTTCATTCTGCCCCTTTAAAATTTTTGTCCTTTTGCCAGATTTCAGGCTTCAAACAAAGATATAAAATGTATATAAAATATAAATATAAAAAATAAAATAATCAAAAACAAGTGGAACCCGATCATCAAGTGGATCAAAATTAATATATATTATATATTTTAAAACTATTTTAACAAAAAACTGAAAAATTGGGTTTGCAAAGTTATTCAGCCCCCTTGAGTTAATACTTTGTAGAGCCACATTTTGCTGCGATTACAGCTGCAAGTCACAGCTGTAATCGAGAGAATGAAATTTTTACCCATTCTTACTTGTAAACAGCTGGAGCTCAGTGAGGTTGGATAGAGGGCGTCTGTGAACTGCAGTTTTCAGTTTTTTTTTCCCACAGATTCTCCATTGGATCCAGGTCTGGACATTGACTTGTCTATTCCAACATCTGGATATTTTTATTTGTGAACCATTCCATTGTAGATTTTGCTTCACGTTTTGGATCATTGTGCTGTTGGAGGATAAATCTCCGTCCCAGTTTCAGGTCTTTTGCAGACACCAACAGGTTTTCTTTCAGAGTGGCGCTGTATTTGGCTCCATCCAACGTGCCATATTCCCTGTTCCTGCTGGAAAAAAGCAGACCCAAACCATGATGCTGCCACCACCATGTTTGACAGTGGGGATGGTGTGTTCAGGGTGATGAGCTGTGTTTCTGTTACGCCAAACATTACGTTTTGCATTGTTGCCCAAAAGTTAAATTCTGGTTTCATCTGACCAGAGCATCTTCTTCCAGATGTTTGCTGTGTCTCCCAGGTGGCTTGTAGCAAATTTTAAACGAGAATGTCTATGGATATCTTTAAGAAATGGCTTTCTTCCATGAAGGCCAGACTGATTGTTGTCCTGAGAACAGTCTCTCACCTCAGCTGTAGATTCATCCAGAGTGATTATGGTTCTCTTGGCTGTATCTCTGATCAATCTTCTTGTTTGAGCTGAAAGTTTAGAGGAATGGTGGGTCTTTAATATGATCACTTGCAACGTGCAGCTTGGGGTGTTTAAAGCTTAGGAAATCTTTTTAATCCAAATGCTTTAAACTTCACAACACTATCTTGGACCTACCAGGTGTGTTCCTTGTTCTTCATGATGCTCTCTGGGCTTTAAACAGACCTTTGAGACGATCACAGAGAAAGTGCATATATATAGAGACTTGATTGCACACAGGTTGACTGTGTTTATCATCATCAGTTATTTAGGTCAACATTGTACCATTCACTCACTGAACTTCCGGAGAGTTTGCTGCACTGAAAGTAAAGGGGCCTGTTTAATTGAAGTTTGAAATATCCCAATAAATTTCTTTCCACCTTATGATTGTGCTCACGTATTGTTTGTTGTTAACAAAAAAAAGAAAATTTATATAGTTATGTTTAAAGCCTGAAATGTGTCAAAAGGTCATAAAGTTCAAGGTGGCTAAATACTAAAGCGCTGTTTATTTACAGTGTGTAAAATAAGTATTTAACACGTCACCATGTTCTCCAGTAAATATATTTTTAGGGGTGCTATTGGCATGATGTTTTTGCCTGATATTTTGGGGTTTATTGGCAAAAATGTTTGGGAATCCCTGATTTAGGTCATATTAATATCACTCAAAGTCTTGGTATAAATCTAATCTGACAGAATCTGAGCTATGTTGCAGAAAAGGACAGGGGGTGTAGATCCTCTTTAAACGTGCAGTGCCAGTAGAGATGTACACCAAATAGACATTGAGATGGAACTGCAGCAGAAAGTGTTCCCACAAAGTACTGGCTCGGGGGGGTCAACATTGCTCAACTTATTTTTAATCCTTTTTTATGAACAGCTGTTTCCTTGCGCTTCACAATTTAAACACTACTTTGTGTTAGTCTGTGACATAAAACCACAACAGAACACACATGGGTCTGAGAGGGTATGTGGAGATGAAATAAAGTGCTGGAGATATGAATAAGGCACAGCTGAGCAGACCTAAAAGAGATCTTACTTTGTTTTAAGCAAGGCAGGTGGACATTTTATACTCTTAGCTAATGCTGTAACCATTAGAAACAAATTAACTGGGTAGCCAGCAAACTGTTATATCTAGTTGTTATTGGTGTACAATGTAATGTGAAATTGGCCCTAATCTGTTCCATGGCGCCCCGTAATGCTGGATGGATGGCTTTTTATCCACCGCTGTGATGTATGTTGGTGTTCAGCGTTAAATGATTGAATCTTCTCACAGATTCAGAAATATAAGCTATCGTACCTTTTAATGCCCGTCTGAGCGGGAACCGCACACTCTTTCACACCATGGTAGCTGATGTCTAGTGTCCTGCTGTGTTCAATCCCATGCTTGCTTGTCCGTTGTTCTTGCAGGTGTAGCAATGGTGCAGATAGTAGGTGCTCCCTGTGTAAAGGCAGGCCCCAGCGCCAACGGTAAACACCCAGCCGCTCGCCTCAGACCACCAGTAGATGGCATGGTAGTGAATGACGTCTACATGCATCGTATAGTATCAGAATGGGGACGTTTGAAACCACCGGCATGGTGTTGAATGCAGTGACCATGAAACAATACAGGGGTGACTTTTTTTAAATTTAATTTTTATTCAAGTCATTCCAACATGAAGTAGGACATGCAGGTTGATAGTGATCCTTTATCGCTGAAGTTGTTTTTTCAGCTTTTAATTACAGCTTTTTAAAGATAGCTTTATTAATGTTTTGCTGGAAAGCACCAATCTGGTTTTCCTACCATCCTTGGATTTAAAACAAATCCACCAAATACAATCAATCCTTTTGTGTTTACCTTGGGACGGACCTCGTTAGTTTAGCTGATTTTAATTAAATGCGATCAGCATCCGAATAGATTTCTCCTGCCGTTGGTTGTTGGGTACAGGCTTTTCTTTGACAGGTGTAGAGTGACAGCAGAGCAGTCCATCTATTTCCAAATAAAACTAGCTGTGGTTGCTACGTAGAGTTAATCTGGGCGATGTGTTGTGGTCCTGTGGTTGTCTTCTTCTGTGGCATGGTCGTGAGTGTGTGGTCACTGTTTGTTTGTGTTTTTGGGCTGTGTTCTCTGTTAATCAGTTGTTTACGGCAACGATGCCTTTGCCCTTATTTTACTCTACGAATACTCTTCAAGGTATTTTTCTTTTTTTTTTCTTTTTTTTTTAGAGGCTCCCTTTTAAGTTCAAAATGTATTCTAGATAGTTCAGTCTAATAAAAAACGTTATAAGGTAGCTGTATGTCATGTTGTTTACTTATTTTTTTTGCTAACATCTTAGAGAACAAGATATCACCCGGTATGTTAAAGTTTCTCTAAGTTATAAGAATGACTAAATTGAGATCTTGGTTTTGTTTCTAATAGGCATGCTCCCTGGCATGGGTCCACCTCTAGTTTCCATGATGCACCCCCAGCTGACTCTTTCCCCAGCTCCTGCTTCCATAGCTGGATCACTGCAGCTTCCTGAGTGGACCGAATACAGAACAGCTGATGGGAAAACGTATTACTATAACAACCGGACACTGGAGTCCACCTGGGAGAAACCACAGGCCGTCATAGAGAAAGGTAGAGCTTCTGACACTTTGCTGGTCTGCTATACGGGGCTGTAGAGGCTTAATAACATGTGTGGACATAAAAATAAAAAAAATCTTTTACTTGAATGTAAATAAGAACAACTGAGATTTGAAAAAAAGCTGTTTTAAATTTAAATTTGGGTATTTTTTAATAAATCCAGGAAGTTGTAAAGTTTAAAACATACTTTAGTTTGGTTTATTATTCACACAAATCTTTAAAAAATTAGATCTTTCATCAATTTATTTTGTTCTTATTCATTACACTGATGGAGTTTTAAGATCATTTCTGACTTCAAACTCCGTGAAACTATTATATACAGCAGCAGCCATTCAAAATGGCCCAAATGGCAGCCTGCTTCCAACTCACAGGAAAATGCTCTTCAATTTCAAGGCCACTGGAGTCACTCTCTCTTGCATATTTTTTAACTCTCACACTTTCACTGAATTACAGGGTCTGACCAGGAGATGACGCTTCTTTTTCGATCTTAATGTCCACGAATCATGACAGAACATTTTAGTACAAAGATGAATGTTTAAAAAGGAATTGTAGGCGACCAGCCAAGGGCCCATCAAGGAAAGTGGGGACATTTTTCAATGGCTACTACTTTAAAATAAAAAAATAAAGTAAAGGTTCACTTAAGTGCATAAACCGCTGAACAAAGAGACCATCTGAAGACTATGCTTGATGCAAGTCGAGAGCATCAATCAGCTCAAGTGATGAACTGTGCTTTTGGTGTAGTTGGAGAAAAACGCAGTACACAAAACGGTCTTAAAAAATTACCCAACAATGTTTGAAATCTTGCCGCGTGAACCAGCCTTTATGGTGTCCACTGATAAATCAGAATAAGGATGGAACAAGCAATTTCAAATCAACTTGTGTGTTAATACCTAAATTTAGCATAAATCTACTGTCCAGAATAGACTGCAGTGCATGGACTGAGCTTCCTAAAAAGATTAAAACAGATCCACAAAAAAGCATATAATGGATCAATGCCATAAAACTTCCTACATGCGGTGAGTTCACCAGGATTAGGTCCTAGCTTTAAATTCTGTATTTGATTAAAGTAGCAGGCCCTCACCCCTGCGCAATATGATGGCTTACATTCTGTAAATATTTTCATCAGACACTCTTTTGTATTTAAGACAACTGAGCAGCCACTTTAGGAAATATTATAACAATAAACTTTTTTTTTTTTCTTGGGTTGAATTAATCAGGATGCTTTATGGGCTGACTGTGATTTTTTTTCTATGCAATTGCCATGTCAATTTTCCCCTGCACATTACATAATCACAATAGTAGTGATTTGCATGTCCCCTCATATACTTAATATTTATGCTCTTTAATGTTTTATCTTTTGAGGATTATTATGAGGTTATTTCTGAGAGTGAAAATAACATAAAACTTGGATAAATCAGTGTCAACAACTGAAAGGGATGGTAGTGGTTTAAGTGGCATGTGGCTATCATGCGCCATTGATGTCATGATCTGCTACTCATTTACAGGAAAAAAAAAAAAAAAAAAGAGAGATTTGCTCACAAAGGACTTAATTCCAAGTCTTTCAGGGCAGATGTTAGTACAAGGTCTCAAAATGATCTCATTCTTCTCAGTGCCTAGTTATCCATTCTCATTTATCTGTTCTTAGAAAAAGAAGCAGAGAGGGCCAAAGAACGCCTGACCCAGGAGGAAGCTGAGGCGATGGAGATGGAAGAGGAGATGAAAATGGAAAACGCTAATAACGAGAAAGAGGTCAGTAAACATTACGAATATCAATTACATTAACTGTAGTGTAAGACTAAATGCACCGAAATATATTATTGTCTGAAAAAGGTCTTGAGATAACATTAGTTGTGAACAGTGATGGGCAAGTTACTTAAAATATCTATTATAGTCCCTAGTTACTTCTCCAAAAAAGTAACTGAGTTACTGCTCAGTGAAAGTAACTCGCTATTAGCCACAGTAACTGTGCAGTTACTTTTTATGATCTAAAGTGTCAAAGAATTTGGGAAATTTTCCTGTTTCCTGAATTTTAACTAGAGGTTTGATTATGAAATATAAGGTGTTTATTATGAATAAATACATTAATATAAAGGTCCACATATCTAATAAACATTAAAAAACTAATCTATATTATTTTGATCTGAGGTTTGACAAGTGAGTTGCAATAAAATTATGGATGTGATTAGATTTCTTGTTTATAGTCAAAGAAAAATAGGATGTCTTGATCTTTATTTGTTTGAATATTGACAGGCTATGAAATGGGGATGAAGCTGAAAAATAATGCATTTCAAGCAATTTAAAAAAAATGGCAGTAGAATTAAATGTGGTTAGACCATTCCAGAACGATTAGAAATCCTAGTAAGACTGTTTGACCCAGAATTTTTGCATTAGAAAATGCAAACCGTGCACGTAAAATCATTATATCGCTGAGAAAGTAATGAAAAGTCGCTGTCAGTCAGTTTTTGGATGATTTGCTGAGCTTCTGAGATCGCATCTCCTAACGATAAATGATGGTCTTTTTTCCCAAACATAATAAGCAAATCACAGAAGTATTTTACGGTTTTCTGTGGGAATGCTGTCATTGAATCAGTGTCTCTGCGTCAGCATGTCTCCTCTTTATTCATGCTGAAGTTGCTTATTCTTATGTACGTCATGTACGCTCATACCAAGAAGCTGTAGTCCTTATTTAAAGACTGCAAGTAACGAATCTGTTTGAAGTATGCTGGTGAAGATTCTCGCTCATCCAGGTCATAATCATTCCAAAGAAGTTCAAAAACAAACCACTGGACTTTGTTTTCCCAGTTTGATGACGTTTCGCTTTCCACCCTGGAAGCTTTTTCTATTCAAAATGTCCCGATTAGCGTTGAGTTCCAAGCTTTATAGACTATCCCAACATAGCCTTGTTATGGCTTAGCAAACATGCAGATTTTTAACTTTTTGGGAATCTGTTTGAAGTGCAGTAATGACTAATGCTTTACTGTCTTTTAAAAATTAATAGTTACAGTGCTAGATTGTGGAGTAAAAAATGAGCACTGAGAGTTGATATCCAAGGAAGAAAAGGTTTTATTTTACTCTGCAGAGAAGAACAAAATGACCAGTTGAATGCAGCTCTCAGTGTTGATCTGAGGCTGCAGCATCCCAACCCCTGAATAAAAAAAAAAAAATAAAAAAAAAGGTGACTCCCCACACATTAACATTTACCAAGAGGAAACACTTTAATCAATGGACAACGGAGATGACAGTTGTTTCCTATTCACACCAGGATGTGAGAATCTTGACATGTTTCCCCCTTATCTAACCTAGGGGGAAACTTCCTTTCAAACCTCCTTCCTTTCCTTTCATCTCAACAAGGCTTCTAAGTAATCACTCCTATTCAGGAAAAACCTTTTCTTCCTTGAATATCAACTCTCAGTGCTCATTTTTTTACTCCACACTAGTTACTAGAAAAGTGATTATTTAATAACGCGTTGGTCCCAACACTGGTTGTGAATTGGCGCTATATAAAAAAACTGAATTGAATTAAATCGGTTATTGTTCAAACTTGTCAACTCTTTTCCAAATAGTACAGTTTAAAATCACGTCATTTTAAACTGTACTGCATTTTATTGGTGAAACAACTAGGATTCATTTACAGGAAATTATTTAGAAGCTAGATGAACCCGGAAGAGAAGAACCAGCTGAACTTTTTTCTTATTTTTTATCAAGGAACCTAAAGAGGAAGAGATGACAGAGGAAGAAAAGGCAGCTCAGAAGGCCAGGCCCGTAGCCACCAACCCCATACCTGGGACACCTTGGTAGGCATCCATTGTACCCCACGATCATCACTTATTACTGTAAAATACACCAAAACTAAACGTTCTTCTTCTTCATTAGGTGTGTGGTGTGGACGGGTGATGACCGTGTATTTTTTTACAACCCCACAACACGGCTGTCCATGTGGGACCGCCCTGAAGAGCTGGTTGGTCGAGCTGACGTGGACAAACACATCCAGGAGCCGCCGCACAAGAGAGGCCTGGAGGACAGCAAAAAGACAGGTGTGGAAGGCCACGCCTCTTTATTTGAGCTGTAAACTTTAAGCTGTGGCAAAAACGGTTATTTTAGTGGCTTTTAGTTGAGCAAATTATTTCACTGCTCAGGTGTCAGTAAGGAGGAGCCAGAGGCATCGACAGCTACTGATGACAGCCCAGATGATGAGCACAGCAAAGCCAAAAAAAGAAAGTACGTTTGTTTGTGCTTGAAGGAAAACAGCTTTATTCACCTTTAAAAATATGAAGCTTTGTTTTATTCTCGTTTTTTTTAACTTCTAGTTTCATTGATGTTCTCTTGTGATTTGCCATGATTACAGGAAGGAAGAAGCAAAGGAGGCCGACTCTGAGAAAGAGGCAGCCATGGAGGCGGAGCTCCGAGCGGCCAGAGAAAGAGCTGTGGTTCCGCTGGAGGCCAGGATGACCCAGTTCAGAGACATGCTGCTGGAGAGAGGGGTAACGCATTTTAAACACACGTTGGATCCTTGCCTCCAGTATGTTTTTATTTACTGAATAAAATGAAAGGCAGGGAAGGGGTAGAAAATATCAAACTTTGTTTGTTGGGAACTCATTTAGATGAGTGTTGGAAAAGGAGCTTGGTGTTTGTTTCAACAGATGTACAGCCTTTAAAGGTCCTATTAGACCTGATCAAACTTAACAGAATAAGAAAAATAAATAAAATGGGTATATAAGGGGCGAGGAATGTGGACATATTTAGAGAGAAACATAAAAAATCATTAAAACGTAAGCTAAAAATGTGAACAGCAAACAGAAATAGATCAAAGAACAATCTAAAGATAATGCAGTACTTGTTCTTTTTTTTAAATATAACTCCAGTTTTTGATAGTTTGAAGTAATCAAAATAAATATTTTGTTTAGTATGCGTTTAGTACATTTCTCTATGAATTCCTTTGACTTTAAGTTAAACTATCTTCAGCCCTGATCCAGCTGAACTTTCCTGCTGTCCATGGCTTAATGAAGAATTATATAAATAGTAATTCTGTTGGTTGTTGCCATGGAAATTAATTATTACTCCAGATGATTAAAAATGTGGGACCGGAAATTGAGTATTGGGCACTTCTTGGTTTTTTTGTTTTTTGTTTTTTTTTCTCCTATATTGAACAGTTTGATAATTATTGTTATTGCTTAATGTCGTTTCCTGCCTTTGGTTTATAGCCCAATAATAACTGACTGGATGTTTTGTCTGTCCTGCTTTTAGGTGTCGGCATTCTCAACCTGGGACAAAGAGCTTCATAAGATTGTGTTTGATCCACGCTACCTTCTGCTTAACCCAAAAGAAAGGAAACAGGTTAGAGTTTTACCCTTTTTTACGTTGATTTTACTTGTTTCTTTTGTGGGGGGCATCTTTTTTTTTTTTGTTGTTGTTTTCCCTCATTCATTGTTTTGTGTGCTTGTGCTCAGGTTTTTGATCAGTATGTGAAAACACGAGCTGAAGAAGAGAGGAAGGAGAAGAAGAACAAGCTCATGCAGGCCAAAGATGACTTCAGGCGGATGATGGAGGAATCTAAGCTCACAACCAAGTTAGGAAGCATGCCTCGTTTTTCACGCTGTTGAAGATGGTTTGTTTTAATTTCGACTTAAGATGATTCTAACTTTGATATCTTTGCAGAACGACATTCAGTGAATTTGCTATGAAGCACGGCAGAGATCCACGATTCAAGGCCATCGACAAGATGAAGGACAGGGAGGCCATCTTTATTGAATTCATGACCGCCATGAGGAAGAGGGACAAGGAAGATTCCAAAAGCAGAGGAGAAAAGGTGTGTTGCTAATTAGGGTTCCCTTTTCAATTCTGTGAAACAATTTGATACCTTGTCGATTCTCGTCACAGTCATCTAAATCTAATGGAGAAGGCATCCGTTTATTGAAAAAGCATTACTGTACAATTTCGGGAAATAAACTCATCTTCCCCTGATTTAAGTAAATGAGCGTCACCTTTCTCTCGCTCCCTGAACTGCGGAGCAACATGGAAGCATGTTTCTTTACACCCATGGCAATAGCTAGAATCATGTCAGAATTCCAGCTACCAGTAGTTATAATTAAACATGCTAGCAAAGAAGGGCTGGATTAACGAGAAGGGTACACTCCCTTAATAACCCCAAAGAGAGGTAGGAAACTGGTTTATTTTCAGAAATATGATTTAATAGGAACCACATTAAGCACAGCCAGTG